GTGTGTGTGTGTGTGTGTGTGTGTGTGTGTGTGTGTGTGTGTGTGTGTGTGGGTGTGTGTGTGTGTGTGTGTGTTCATGTTTGAGTTGATGATAAAATCTCGATATATCTGCGTCATATAATCTTTTTATAATATATGTATATTACATTCATGATTCATTCAGGTTGGAGTTCACAAAATAAATTAGAGCAACATCTGTTCTGTGACAGCAAAAAATGATTGTGTAATTACCATAATGTACAGTCATTTTCGATGCCAAGTTATATATATTTGTTTGATGAAACTATAAATATAATTATTGTTGCTATAACGTTATGATAATAATAACTATAAAAAGGAGCTTCTAATTACAATTTTTTTAATTATAATTATAATTATTATAATAATTATGTTACCATGCAATTACAGCCACAGGTATAAAACACTTTTATCTCGGTGGAATATTTTCTCTCTGCACTGCTCTTTCGAAAACATAAATTCTATTATAGAATTTTTGGAAAATTAAATTATTAAATTAGCTGAGTGAATATAAAAAGAAGATCGCTGTCTGCTTTAATCTGAAATCGCCGCGCGAGTATCGATCGCCGAGAGCGCTGCTGCAATTTCCAATGTGGACGTTTCGTATCAGTTTCACGAGGTTATTGAATTAAAGAAGCAACTGCCCGACCCCTCTGTTATTGCAGTTCCCCGGTACGCGACTTATACGGGAAGAAACGAACTCGTCATACTGGATGCTCCATCTATGAGCGGAGAGCTCGAACGAAATTGTACAGACATGTGTACAATTTTATCGTTAATTAAATGAAATGCTACCATATGTTTAATTATAGTCCACGATAAAAGATAGGAAAAAAATGGTGATGCAAATAACGGACACATTTTGTTTCATTACGTTCGGCGACGTGTATCTCTCGTATCGTAGCATTGCATAATATCCCGATAAATATTAATTTAATTAATTTCGAAAGCACGAGCCCCCGGCTTTCATTCCGAAAGCTTATTAGCAAATGTCTACGTGATTTTAATAATTTGATGGCATGCCATAAACTGGCCTTTGTGGCGCGACATTACATACGTGAATTAATCGATAGAGCTCCGGTTTAAGGGCTATACGGACGAAGGGCCGGAATCAATTATGTTTAATCGTTCCGGCTAGTTTCCTGCTAGTTTAATGAAATACACATCTCTCCGTTTACTTTCGTTAATCTTTTACGTTACACGACATAGAGATGAGTATTAATATGTGCTGCATATTAAAACGCATGTGTCAGGAAAGGAACGGCTTTCCTCTTGCGCGTCACCCTCCTTGGCATCATACCGCATCGTTAACAAGACGTGTGTTTGCCGTTTAACGTTTATCAGATCACCAACGGGAGTGATATTACAACGTACGTTGTCTGCACTGTAATATAGGAAATGGCAATCGGTATAAATTTAAATTAAAATAAGAAGTACGGCCAAATATTTTTGTGTGCGTCCGCATATATTTGCATACTACACGGCAATACTTGAAGCTATATATAATATGCAACGGACGAAAAAGGCGAAAGGGCAAATGGTGCGAAGGAGAGAGAAACGGAAGGGAGACGAAGAGGGCGATGAGAGAGAGAGAGAGAGGGGGGAGGGGAAGAGAGAGGAGAAAGAGGAGAGGAGGGGAGCCACGAGGCTGCATCGATCCAGAAGCACCGTGTGTAAACCATCGAGCATAATCAAATTCCTTTTAGCCCGAGCTCGTGTATACGATATACCAAGGTAGTTCTGTTTTTATTCAGAACAGTCGAATCGTGCAAAAACCCGTTTATCGCTCTCGAATTAAGGTTCGACTCTTGTTATACGACGAGAGATCTCCTTTACCCACATGCTTCAATTGCCCCGTTTAATAGTAATTTTACAATTTTTTTTGAAATATGTTCCACGCGAAAAATTGCAAAACAGTAGCGACGTGTTAATGTAGGACGGTGGTCGATCGTTAATCCACGATTTTTACATTGTTTCACGAATTACTTTCCCGAGTTATCTGTCGAGCGGAGATATCCGATTTCAGATTCAAACAGATTTCTGACAAAAATATTTTAGAAAAATATAACAATTGATGACGAAGATGCTTTTTTTTTTATCATTTTATCCATGATTTTTATTATTATTTCACGATTAATTATCTGTCGAGCAAAAATATCCGACTTCAAATTCATTTACATCAGATTTTTGACAAAAATATTCTAGAGAAATATAAAAATTGATGATGAAGAAAATGCTCTTCTTTATTCTTATTCAATACAGACACCAGCTAGTACCGCATAAAATAATCAATTAAATAATCGTTAAACTAATATGATTATTCATGAGAGAAATTATTTAATTATAATCGAATAATTAATGTTTATAAAAATATTTTACAAAAATATATTTCTGAATATCTCGAATAAAATTATTTATCATTGTTTCATAATTTGAGACAATATCCCATTAATGAATTGATAAATGTTCATTTTGACGTCAGCGACTATCTCGCGGATCGATCGAAGTACGGATCGGAACTTTTGGGTCACCCTATATTTCCTGAAAGCATACCATTGGCCCATCTACTACTGCGTGCTCCAGGGTTTAATCTAACAGTGATTTATGCTTCCCAGCGGCTCTCAATAACGCTGATTCACATTACTTGCCATTGATTCTGATTAATTCTATCGATCCTGTCAACGCGTTTATTTTTTCAATTTTGCGACAAACAGTATTTCGCTCACCCGACAACGGTTTATTATTATCACTAATTGTGTTTGCTCGTCTCTGCGCGGTGCATTGAAATCATGCTGGTATTGTGTTGCGATCGTGTTACAAAGTGCTCGGTTTACATTTTGCCTCGTATTGTTAGCTTTTAAAAGAACAAACGCGCGATGGGGATAAATACATACATACTTTCGACATTACACGACTCATGCACGTTGTCGAAAAATATATTGCGCCGAGCGCGTTATTTGTCTCCCGCTTCCATTTTGATTCGACGTTTAATAATTCCACCTATCAAAATTCAAAATACAATAGTAAAAATAGTCAAAATCTTTTGAAATTCCATTATTCGTATTGTTTCTAATTCGCTAGATTTTATCAATTTAATTTTAATCGTAAACACTTTGCGTGCTATTGCATTGCGTACCTATATTTTCTGACACGTGACCTCGCACGTGACACGACGATGAGTGTCATCAAAATGAATGTTTTCGCATTTTACCTAGAAAACAATTTTTTTAGGGTACATATATCACTTTATGATTTTTTACAATGCGTTTATATGAAAGTAATTGACCACCACTGCGTCGAGACGCTACATATCCCGTTCTACGTATGAATGTGTTATGTACGCTCGGCGAATATGTCAACTGCAGTATCACGGATTTATCCTGGACTTCTGACTCTTCATCCGCTTTTTTTCCCTTTTTTCCGTTATTTTTCAATTAGTCATTTGTACAGTGAATTTTACACGGTTCGTAACGGAGATGCCGAGGGCGGTAATTCAAGCGGTAAAATGGACAAAGACGTTATCTAATCAATAGCGGCTTTCGCGGAAATATATTCATTATCGGCGGTCAAGCGGGTTGACGTGAATTTTAATCGGTGGTTATTATTTTCTAATTATGCATTGCGTTTACATGACTAACTTCAGATAACTCGGAAAGCGATAAGAGTTACAACGCCGCGGTTACGACTTTTTGTACGTACATATACGAAAATATCTTTTATCGTCACGCTGAAATTTAAACTTAAAATTTTCTTCAGTATACACGCCTATCTCTTTCTCCCTTTTCACTCGAAACACGTTTCTCTCGTGGAATCTATTTTCATTTAAGTTACAAAAGCCCATTTAAGAAGTTTGGTGAGAGGCGCGAGATAAAGAAGTGCTGGATACGAGATGATATTACGCAGATAGAAACTTTCGCGGCTATGCTAATAATATGGTGGACATACTTCACCTTTATTTATACCTGATATAACATACATTTGTAAAATTATATCCAGCAGCTGCGTGCATGTAATGCAAAAGGTCATCTATAAACTGGAAGATCGCATTTTTCAATAAAGGATTTATTGCTATACGGGTTATTAAAGAGAAAAAAAGATAAATATTAATTTACGTGTATGAAAAGCTAACTATAATAATAATACTAAAATTTATAATATAATAATAATATAATAATAATAATAATAATAATAATAATAATAATAATAGAGAATAATATAACAATAATAATACTAATATCACAAATAAATAGAGAAAAGCACCATATATGGCCGAGGCTAAATGTTGATAATATTTTTAATTTTTATTTTTAAATTTCAGCTACAGTAAATTAACTGCGTATCGATTACTTTCGGACTTTTTAAGATCGCAATCATAATTTTACGCTGAAATATTACATATTAAATTGATTTTTCACCTGTAAAGAATTTATTGCGAAAAATATTACCTCAGCCAGGATTCGAATCTGAAATCTACCGATCTTATCCGGGGCGGATGTCTTATCTATTCACTGAGGCTGTGGTAATATTTATCGCAATATTAATAAAGAGGAACGCATAGTTCAGGCGAGCGTGTGTAAATAACAACAACAATTTCAATAAGGCCGCATAATGTATACCACAAACAAACAGACAAATACTAATGTTAATACAGCAAACATAATAATATGTATAGCTGTACATAGTAATATATTACAATAATAACGGTCTTTCTCAATTTCCATAGACCGATTATAAGTCTTGTAATTGCTTGTAATGCACAAATTTTCTTCTATATAAATCTCTTGGTTTCTCTTAAATTTTTTAACTTCCTTTGAAAGCCCAACGAAGCAGTTTGCCTTCCCTCTGCTCGCCTCTCTGCTCCGCTCTTCTCATATTGATAATTAGCCCCACCCAAGCCTTGGCCTCGCAACTTCATCCCCGCTCTTCGCCGCATTTAGTGTATGAAATATTGTCGTTTATGATATCTCATTTACTCTGTGTTCGTGACATCATCGTCAGCGTTACTAAATCACAATGACGTAATTGGATATTTGGAGAAACTCATTGCTTGATTAATCTTTTTATTTTTATTAATCATTCAATTTTTCTCGAGGGGTCAACCACTACTAAAAAAAAGGTACAAGTGATTGCTAATTATGGCAATACAACACACTTTATTACTAGCTGTATTGCTATCGTATTGCTTTCGTATTGTCAGTAATATTGCCATCTATTGTCTCATGTACCGTCACCTATTACACAATATTGCCAAGTATTACTATGTATTTACAGCGTATTGCTAGTGTTGTATTGCCGCAATACTAACAATATATTCCCAAAGAAAGAAATGTACACTGATTCCCATAGTAGTGGTAGACTCCCCGATTTTTCTGCTCTTATTATATGTTACATTTACCTAACTTTTAAGCCAAATTCACACAACAAAAGATTTAAAAGTTTACGAAGTACACAATTACCAATAAATTACCAATTTTCTTCTTAATGATTATACTGAAATCCTCGAAAGTTAATCTTTCTATTTGCCATCCTTGAAAGTTTTTCTTTCATCGCGAAGAAAAAAAAAAGTCTGATTTTTCCGTGCGTTAGTTGCATACCGAAAGCCCGTGAATTGATAGGTTATCGGTGTGTTTAGGACGCATACGAATCGCCGTAGCAACGTCGGAATACATTATCACTCTGATTCGACACGCGGCGCGGCGGCGCGGTGCGGCGCGGGGCCATCGACTCGACGTCGCGGCGTATTTCGTGTGCGTGCATCGCCGCCGGGTTCAACTACAGCCGGCGCGTCGTCGCATTCGGCCGCACGGCTGCAACCGCGGCGCGTCAGAACAATCGTGACGATGCTACGCGCAGCGTCTCTACACGCCGTTTCTCGCGCGAAACGCGGAAGTCCAAAGCCTCAGAGGGATAGGTGCTGGATAAAAGCGAAATCTCTCGCACGGGCCTCGCGTTACATCGAAATTCATTACCGTTGTCATAGTAACCCTTCAGACGCGGAGAGGCAAGAGATTTTATGAAAGAGTTACATTCTACAAGAACACTTATTGAAATTCCTCTTTTTTTTTATACAATATAGGTATATACTGGGTATATACATACACATACGGAACGTTGCGAGGAAGTTTCGCACGATGAGTCCAACTTCTCGCGAAGTACTCTAACTTCAAAACCGATACATTTGTTTCGCATGCCGTTGACAATGCTGTTTTCCGTTAAATCCGCGACTTTGCAAAGTTCAAAATTGAATTACACCGTGCTTGCGGCGAAAACTCACCGGTCGCCGCCGCGCCGGTGCCGCGAGCGCGAACAAAAACAATCGCTCAGCGAAATCGTGCTCGGCAAGTCGAATAACCGTCTCGTAAAATTCGGAATCCTCGACGGACGCTCCTGGGAAATCGCCGATAATAAATCCGCTAAAAGTCGCGAAAATTTGCTTCCAAATGTCAATCAGAATAAACTTCTTTTTGAAATATAAAATTTTCTATACGAAAGTTATTTTGGAGCGAGAAAAAAATAAAAGAAAATGCATATTAATTTTTGAAAAATTTCGAGAAAAGCTGACGAAAATTTAAGACGATTTATGTAAGTTGAAATAAAATATATGAAATGACTCTGAGTAAATAACGACAAAGAATTCTAACAATCTTTTCATGGAGGTTTATTTCATGTCGAGACGCGACATGATCTGCGATATATTTCATGTTCAATCATAGTTTTTCGACGGTCCTCGCGTGTGCGCAAGGTTTATTTTCAGCATTGAATATATTTGTCCGGACGAGGAGAGAGAAGAGAAGAGAGAGAGAGAGAGAGAGAGAGAGAGAGAGAGAGAAAGAAAGAGGGGGGGAGGACAGGACGAATTGGCACGCGCGGACGCGTATTAGGACTACGCAGCGATGGGATCAAGCAAGTGATTCAAACGGTACCGATACTTTTTTCTATCGAGGCATCTCGATACGGAAGGTTAACCGCGGCCCCCGAGGTCACGACCTTCTCTTCCGTAGAATTAACCCCTTGTATTCAGAATTGCCGCGTAGAGTGGAGCTAACTGCGAGTTATTTTGACATCAGCAAGATACACACATTGTGCCTCATCAGTAATTTCGCGATTATGGGGATTCGCGTGCTTAAACGATTGTAAAATTATTTCGCGAAACATTTGCAGGATAATGTTTAAATAATAATAACATAAATATGTGATCAATATGAATACGCTAAAATATTTTTAAGGTAATTGAATTTCATATACGTTAAAAATATGTTTTATATTAAAATATAAAAAATATATATATAAAGAGCATATAAAATGAAGGAAATATAAAATGTATGAAATTTTATATTTTATATTTTCTGTGCTTTTTATAAAAGAAATAGACAATAATAAATAGAAAAAGAAATAAGTATATTTTATAGAATTATTTTGCTAGAATTATTATGACTAACAAGTTAGAGTATCAAGTCCGTAAATTAATATCATTATAGTAGAAAAGGACTTTCCGGAGCATCTATTTCTCAAGTGAGAATTATGCTTTGCAACTTTTACTCGACGCGCAACGTCGCGCAAGGAAAATTAACGTGAAGTAACGAAACGTGATGCGAGCGTAATTCAATTATTAGATCGGACAGCGATTATTCTAATGTCCGTCGATGGCTTTCGACGACGAGAGAGCCGCTTGTGAATCGATTGAAAATTACAGCTCGGGAATTGGATCGGGCCCATCGCTAGCGCCGGCCGCGCAAGCCGAGAGAGAGGGAGGGGCGAGGGGGGGAGAAAGAGAGAGAGAGAGAGAGAGGAGAAACACACGTCGGAGAGAAGCAGGGCGCATAAGTGGGGACGACGGAATGAGGCGGGTGGTAGGATAGGGGGATGGAAGATATGCGGGGGTTGAGGAGCAATGGTGAGAGAAGGGCGAGATGAGACAAAGACGGAGAGTGAGAAAGGGGTTGAGGGGAAGAGAATGAAAGGGAGGCCAGCGAAGGAAGAGAGAGAGAGAGAGAGAGAGAGAGAGAGAGAGAGAGAGAGAGAGAAGACAGAAGCCGACCGGTAGAAAGGTTATAGTAGAAGGGAAACTACTATTGGAAGAACTCTCGGACGAGGGTGGGAAGAAGAGCGAAGAGGAGTGACGGGAGCGGACGGGACGGGACGGGGTGGGGGAAGAGGGGAGAATATGGTACGAATACACACAGAGAGCTAAAAGATGAAAGTATAACCGGAGCAACACACAGTGGCTCCTAAGTCAAATAGAACATTATGTCACGTATAAATAAAGTCGTTTCCGAACTTCGGCCCGATAGATATTGCAACGTCAATAAATTATCTTCCGCCATATGAAATCGCCCCGGGGCGTGTGTACATGAGGTAAATCACGCTTCGCTTGGCGCGTTGCACAATTATCAAAAGAGTGTGTCTTTCTTACGGCGCGCGGGATTTTCACTCATGCGGAAAATTTATCGGATTATAAAGAGAGTCAGAGCAACCGTAGAAGCTACTCTTCGGAAACGCGAGAAAAATTATTTTTGCGTTCCCGCGGTCAAAGCTATATAAAAGCTTTTGACGTAAACTTGTACGTATATAATAATTGTTACCGTTTCTTGCTGATAGCAAAAAGAGATTGAGAAAACCAAACACGTAATTATTTAGATAATTATTGCTCGTATTAAAAATAGATAATGGGTACACAATTTATATATATATATATATATATATATGTATATATATATATATATAAATTTGTTTATGTATATATTATGTATATATATTATCGAGAGAGAGAGAGAGAGAGAGAGAGAAATCTCCCTTTTTAAAAAATGATTACTCTGTTTGAAGCGTTCGTAATTAGATGATTATTTAAAATATCCGGAAAATTGTCAACTTATTCAAATTTAACTGAATTTAGCTACAAATATTTTTCAATGCTACAAATATTTTTCAATATTTGCACAGATAAATAGTTAGACTTTAATGTTGCATTATAAGCTAAGATCGGAAGAGCACACGTCTGAACTCCA